AAATCTTCCCATGCCGGGAATCGAACCCGGGCCGCGTGGGCGAGAGGCACGAATCCTAGCCACTAGACCACATGGGATGTTCAAGTAAATGTTTTGTGTGCTTTTTTCAAGCACCTATGCTAATGACAAGAAACTGTAATTAGCGTGGGCGAGATTTTCCCCAGCACACACTAAAATTCTGAAAGCGTTAAGAAGCCGACTATTGATGTACCTTAGAAAGGATTAAAACTGTGTGCAAGAAAATTCTGCTATACAGGTTCCTGCTTCGATCAGGACGAGATTCGAACTCACGCTGGGAAACCCCAATTGATTAGCGGTCCACTGCCTTAACCACTCGGCCACCTGCTCTTTAAATTGTACAGTGATGCTTGACCTGTACAGTTATGATTTTAAAATTTCAATGTCTGCTAATAAAAATTAAATTCAAAATTTAGTCGTCCGAATGTTTCTTCTAGTTGCACTGCTATTCATGTAACTAAGTGCAGAATGCTACATGCACAGTAAATATAGACCCACTTTTTGCTGTCTAAGACTGCCAGAAGATTCTGACACCACTTTTATTGCTGCAGCAATCTTTCAGCAATTATAGTTTTCTTGACTTCTTTATACAAATGCATTAACCAATTATAAGTGCAGCTCGATGCGGGACTCGAACCCGCCACAGCCAAATTAAGAACTTAGTGTTCTACCGACTGGGCTGACCATGCACTGTGCAAACAATTTATATTAAAACGCAAAAACCTGCAGTTATACTTTGTGCCTTTTGAGCCACATGCATTCAGCAAGTTACATGTTGTTCAGCTGATGTTTTCCTTTTTTCAAAACTTATGTCTCATAAGAATAGGAATTGGCTTAGGCAACCGACAGCTGCATTTTCATATTTTTGTGTAATCAATGTTGCTCAACAATACTGATAGCGTGCTCTAGTAGATACTATTTCACACTCCATAGATGTCATAAAAATATATGATTAGAATATCAAACTCTGATGTTCAACATTAAAACATGGCAGCACGTAAAAGCACATCAAGCGACGTCTATGAAATTCTTTTTAATGACACAACCATCTTCCCATGCCGGGAATCGAACCCGGGCCGCGTGGGTGAAAGCCACGAATCTTAACCACTAGACCACATGGGATGTCTCAACAAGAAGGTGTTGCTAGCTGATGGCGTGCTTCAGTAGATGCTGCTGCGCTTTAGCTGATTTTAAACCGCTGTGAATTACGCCACAAAAACTCATCTTTAGTTGATGACGCTTTTGAGGTTTTCACTGCCGTCACTCTGTCTAAAAAGTAGTTTGTTTGCTCACTGATCCAGTAGCCTACTGCGAGGAGCAACAAGCTAGTCTGTAAACTAGTTTCTTCGTTTTTATTTTCGGATAAGCAGAATTATTTTTTTCTTGGCGATTCTAGTCGCACGAGGTAGTGTCTCTTAGGAAAATATAGTTTTTGTATTTCAAGCATGTGTTCTAATGCGTACTCTCTTCTTTCTATCTTTTCGGATAAGTCGAGGGTGCCTCCTGGCTTGAAATCGAATCACGATACAACCGAAGAGACGCTGACGCTTATAATGTGTCACCAGAGAAGCGTGGAAACGCATTACAGTTTCATTGAAAGTAGTTGTTTGGCTAATCCAAGCAGTCTTGTATTACTTGCATTTTGTATTTTTTCTCTGAAACAGGAGCACGCGGTCTTGCGGTGTAGTGGTTATCACGTCTGCTTTACACGCAGAAGGTCGCCGGTTCAAACCCGGCCAAGACCTGATAGTGCGCTTGTTTTCTTCTCACACATGATCACTTCTACATTTCTTCAACAGTTGAAACGTTTTCAGAACATATTCTGTATGTCTCCACCAAACAAAAAAGCTCCGGATTTTAATACAATTATTTTGGAGAACTAGTGTTAAAAAACCAGTTTTTTTTCTAGAATAATGCAATTTAAATGACCGCTGTTAAATATGTTAAATTAAGAATTGTAGTCAAATTTGCTGCTTTATTACAGCTGTCAACATTTTGTTGAAATCTCCAGAAGCCAAGCAGCATTTTTGATAACGGCAAAATTTTAACAGCTTTAGCAAGCTTATTAAACACGAGTTTCTTCTAGACCGCGATAGCTAAGCAACAGTCAACGAGGCGATCGTACAGCGAGGTAGTTTCTGATTTGAAAATTGTTACTTTAATTGTTTTCCTGTTTATTTTTACAATAGAAAGCCAGCTAGGCTTTTCACGCTCGACCTCTTCAAGAGCCTGCCGTGAGATTCAATCGTTTTCTTGTTGCAAAAATTGTTGGCTTTGCGCTGGAGAGATAAGAAATTTCAAAGGCCTACCTGTTAGCGCCTGCCGTGGGTTTTTAATCTACGACCTACAGATTAAAAGTTTGATGCTCTACCGACTGAGTTGGACGAGCTCTATCATGGTCACCTTTGCGCAACATTTTCTTTTTTTCTTGAGGAGCAACACTGCAAACTTTGTAACAGGCAGCAGTTTTAACAGAAAGAATTATTATAGGCTTTATAAATGAATTGTTTATAAAAATAAAAATGAGAAAAATAGTGCTAAGACTAGCGACATATCGGGTGTCCAAAATAAATATTCAACACGCTAGTTTCAATATTTCATGTGGTGTAGTGGCTAGGATTTGTGGCTTTCACTCACGCGGCCCGGATCCGATTCCCGGCATGGGAAGATATTTGTCTTTTGAAGTGCAGAACTATAAAAACTGTAATAGGCAGCAGCCTTAATAGAAGAAATTATTATAGTGTTCATAAATGAGTGAGCATTTTCCAGAGCACCATTACGAGAACTCCTAATCGATCAAAAAGAGAAAAAAAAATAATTTACGCTTGGTTAGCGATATTTGCGCCTAAGTTAAGATAATTTACAGGCGCAGAAGTTTTGTGAAACACGAGGTGAGCGAGTGATCAAAACCTTGACCTCTCGCACGCAAAGCGCGTATTATAACGCTAGGCCAGTCAGCTGCGTTCACTCAAGTCTTTGTAAATTCTCCAACTGTTTTCCTATAACACGTTTTAAAAGTCATATCTATGAGAAGCAGCGCTACTATCTTCTAGTTTGACAGTTGCAGTTGGTAGTTGTAGAGCTGCCGAAAAGGTTTACAGAAGCGGCAGCCACTCAAAATTCTAGCAGATTTTTCGCAACCGTGTCCCCATCTCGGCGTCAACCATTCCACCAGTTTTAGGATGCAATTTGACAATTCATTTAACCTTTGCTTTGTTTGTATTTGCTAGCAGCGTATCGCAGTGGAAGCGTGCTGGGCCCATAACCCACAGGTCGGTGGATTGAAACCACTTGCTGCTACATATTTTGCGAGAAAACATACTTACCGTAGAAGTGCAGTTACGATTCGGCGCATTGAAACAACTTATGAAAAAGATGCTGAAACCCAAAGGAAAATCTTCCATGTACGACGTAGACGCCAGACTACCACGTCGTACAAAAATTTTCTGGATTTACAGCGATGTGACACTGTACAGTTGGAAAATGAGAGAATCAAATCCCTGACTTCTCGCATGCAAAGCGAGCGCTCTACCCCTGAGCTAATTCCCTATACTAACAGCCAAGATCGACAGCATAAAAGACAGAAAATTGCATTTTCCTGAACGGACTATTTCGGATTTCTTGGAAGTTCACGGTATTATTCGCCGCTGTAGCTCAGTCGGTCAGGGCGTTTGTCTAATAAGCCCAAGGTCGTAGGTTTGACCACTGCCAGCGCCAGGAAATCTTTTCAACAAGGTTCTTGGTGTTTTGTATTAGTTAAGCTTACAAAGTTGTAAATTCTTTTGTTTGCATACAAATTCTTTTGCTTGCGTAGAATAACTGAGTAAAGAAAGTGTGCTTTGCGTTGTGAACAAAAGAACAGTTGTCGA